AAGCAGTTTTACATCTAGTATTTACTTTTTCCTCTCCGCAGCCCCACAGGATCATGTCATTTGTGACTTGGTCAAATCTAATACTCCCTCTAACCTAAGCTGAATGCTTGTTTCCAGTTTTTCTGGTCCAAGTTGTAGGAGATCTGGATTCATTCAGTAATGACCACCGGTGTGTCTGACACCTTTCTGGGCTTAAGAACATAGCAGGAAACAGCACAGGCAAGGCTCCTCCTGTAGGAGGACTTATGTTCTAGTCAAAGCGACAGCTTAACAAATGAATGAAAAAGGAGAACTGAATGCGTTCCTGCAATGGAAGACAACTTGACATGGATTGAAAGAACAGTAAGGTAACTTTAAATCTCAAAGTCAGACACCAAGGTGAGGAAAGGCTTTTTGAAGAGGTGAATTTAAACTGAAACTCAAAAGATGATAAAGAGTGAGCCAAGGAAGAAACACACAAAGAGGGCTCCCGGTGGAAGGAGGAAGGGCACCTGCAAAGCGCTGCAAAGGAAGCCCTTCGGGAGGCTGAGGAGAAAGGCAGCCCTGGGACAGGAAGGCTCCTTGGTGGGTTGAAGAGCCAATGGCCTGGGGCTTTTGGATTTTACCTAAATAACTCTAACCTGAGCTCTACCCCTCTGGGAGTCTGAGCACACGGCTCCATGAATTCTTTCTCCATCTGTGCTTTCCCAAATTCGAGGCTTCCAGTACTGCGCTTCTGCGGTTGAGCGGTGGTTTTGGTCCTCTTGCCCCAGCTGTAAGGGCATGCTTCAAAAATCTAGCTTAGTTTCAGGTTTGATCACTGATAAAAGGCACATCATGGAGAGAAGAAGCACCATTTCCTTAGAAACTGCTACAAATTAGACTTTTACACACCTAGCGTCACGAAGAATTCTAGTCAGAGGTACGTTTTGACCTCCACCATCACCCATTTGATAAACACAGCGGAGGGTGGCTGCTTGGGAAGTGATGCCTTGTAAAAGACAAGACAGAACTATCCGTATCTTTAACCCAGCACCTGAAATTCATTCTTATTAGTTTACATCATTATCATTTCTGTTTTTCCTTATACAAGGGTCTCAGTTTTTTCCATGTGGTATCAGTCCACAGAGTAACTGGGCGAGGGTACAGGGCAGACAAGAGAAATAATTCTCCTTGTATTATATTTTTTCGTTTCTCATCTATAAAGCTGAATACAGAGGTTCCTTTCAGAGAAATTACTGATTACAGGACAGAATGCTAACCTGCGTACTTCAGGTTAGCCCACAGTCGTATCACGTGACTTGACAGTGCCTAAGTTCCTGCCTGTGACTCCTGTATTTGACTTCCTAAAAATGGTAGTGGGGCTTGAACCCAGGGCCTTCACATTGAGCTACCTCCCCAGCCCTCTTTTAGTTTTTAAATTTCTTTTGGTGCTGGGAATTGAACTCAGGACCTTGCACTTGCCAGGTAGTATATCCTCAGTATATCCCCAGCACCTCCCCTGGCCCTCTTTTAAAATCTTTAAATTTTGACACAGGGTCTTGCTAAGTTACTAAATTCCCCTGGTCTGGGCTGGGATTTGCTAATCCTGCCTGAGCATCCCAGAGTGTTGGGATTACAAACACGTCCACCATTCCTGCTGATTTGTGTCTTATTAACCACACAGACAATCTTATTTAAATAGCACTATATATATATATATATATATATATATATATACACATCATACAGAATATAAAGTATTCTATTTTATTCAGAAGGAAGTGAGGTTTTATAAGGAATTCTGTACATGGAAAAGGGAAGAATTATCACATGTTGAAAAACTGGTTTATTTTTCTGAAGCCTGAGGAACAATGTGCATACCAGTAAAACACAAATCTTGGCAGACATCAGAAAGAGTCTGATAGCCTGTCTTGTACGACTTGTATATTTCAGTTACCATAGACTCATTTTAGCTTTCCTCATAAAGCTTTTTTTTCTTGTTTGGTGTTGAGGATTGAACTCAGAGCGTGTGCATGGTAGACAGGTCTACCACTGAGCTACACCCATACCCCCCAAAGCTGTTTTTATTTTTGTGTAAAAAAAAGTGCTAGAGAATTATTAATAAATTCCAGAAAGTCAAGTTTCAGAAATGTCAGAACTATGAAAGCCTTCAGAAGAACTATAAGCCCACTTGAAAGAAAATTTTGTATTTATAGACGTTCCAAGAGAAATGTCAGTAGCTACTAGTACAAAATTTATAGCTGAAGATATTAAAACACAAAATATATAAAAATATATGTGCATGTAGGAACAAAACTTACTCATGTGTATAAGTATAAAAAAAGTGTACATGAAATCTTTTCAACTTTGTCAATTTACCAATAAATCTTAACGAACACCTCCTGTTGGACAGCACTGTGCCAGACGCTGGTGTTACAAAGACGGGTAAGACAGTCTCCTTTCTCAAGGAGCTCATAAGCCAGAGAAAGATGGGTGTGTGAACATCATGATAATAATAGTACACGATACCAGATACCAAAATAACAGATACACAGTGGTGACTTCTGAGCAGCCATGTTGCCAAACTAAAGCACTGAACTTCACTCTAGGCTTTGAATCTTCAAAAGGGTTAAAAGGAAATGGCTTAATCGGGCTTGGGATGGAACAGTATCTTGGAGACCGGAAGACGGAAAAGGCTGATGAGACTCAGCTGTAACTCAAGAGCAGCTGCACAGCAGAGGCAGAAAGACAGTCATTTAGGATTAAAAGGATGCAGAGGTGACGGATGAGACATGGGTGTGGGGAAGGGAGGACAGGCGCTTATCCAGTCCTCCTGGTGGGACAGGAATTTATCACTTACATAATGCATTCCCTCAGCCCACACACAAAATTCCCTTTCCTCTTCCTCAGGTATCTGGGACACTAACTTTTCTCATTCTCAAGTTAGTGCTATTATGAAAGAAACAGACAGAAAGAAAACATCACTGTCACTGGGCTTAAACTGCAGGGCAGGGTTTAGTCTTGTTTTCTGTTTCCAATATTAAAACAGAACTCATCCCAATGTTTCACTATTTGTTGAATAAAAAAAGAAACTGATAATTGAATTTCCAAATAAAATTTTCCTTTTTGTGGCGCTGAGGGTGGAACCCAGCCTTGTTCCTGCTAGGCAAGGGTTCTACCACTAAGTGACACCCAGCCCTCAAAATGAAGTTTTAGAGTCCGTGGTACAGACAATAGTTTTGAGGCAAAAGCACTTTGCAGTAAGCGGCAGCTTGGGTTTAACCCTCAAGAGCCTAGGTCCTGGCCCAGACAAGAGGCATACGGATGATTTTCTCCAGACTAGACAATATCTGAACATGCTGGGTGCAGAAAGAGGACAGAGTGCTAAGCCTGGTCCCAAAGAGGCCAGAGAAGTGACGTAACTCCCTGAAAAGTTTGAGGGTCTAAGGGTAGAAGGACAGAGATGCCACTGCTCTTGGGAACGCAGAGATCCCCACACCAGACCTGCCTGGCTTCACAGAGGGCCCTACAGTGCCCTAAGTGTAGCAGCCCAAAGGGATATAGGAAAGCACCTTACCTGAGAGGCAGGAGAGAGGTAGGACCATTCTTGTTACTACAGATGTGGGAGGCAGAGTCTGAGAGAACGGGAAGGAACATGCTGAAGTTTTGACACTTGAAAGCCTTCAAGGAGTATTCAGTGATTAAAGATTCAAAAGGAAAAAGGCCACACAACTTGTTTGGGTGATTTTAAGTTGGATTCCTTTTAGCATCTTCTGAGAGTTGAACAAAGAGTAACACCCCTTTAAACTTAATTTTCCTTTGTTTTGTTGTGCTTCATGAAACATTTTACCTGTGTGTAGCCTCCTGAATCCTGGTTTTGCCAGCATCAGCTGGAAAAGACCACACCCAGGAAATGACTTGAGGAAGATTTGTAAGTTCTGCCCTGCTTCCCTTGGAGCAGGATCTACAAGGTGGTTACAAGTAGACAGAGGAAGTCTCAATTGCTAGTTGTCTTGGTAATGGTAAACATTCATTGAGTGCTTAACACTTACCTATTCTGAGATACTCACCTTCAGTGTAATACTTTGAAAATCAGGATGTCTTACAAGTATTTTTCTTTGTGACTAGTATCTATAATGTGTGCCTACCAGTAGCATCTTACTTTAAGTACTGAATGCATCACTGTCCTGAGCACTTTTACATGAATTAGTTCAATAATCACTTCTTCGTACATAGTAGGAAACTTAGGCATAAAGGTTTAATAATCTGCTTGCAGTCATGCATAGCAGAGGAGGGAATTATAGTTTTGCCTTCACACCCACACGTGAATTTGCACAGTGCACTGTCTCTGGGGCTGCAGAGCACACACAGGTGCTTACACAGCAGTGCCACTCCGCTGAGCTACGCTTTCTACACTCTTACATGGAGTCCTGCAAATAATCTTATAAAAGTGGTAGTTTTTATTCTTTCTGCTAATGTAACACATCAGGAAAATATATATCAGGTAAGTTAGGTAAGACCAATCTCTCTCTCACTCATTAAGTAAGATCAATATTTAAATCCCAAGTGAGGTACAGGTTGAGTGATTTAGTATAAGTCATTAACATTGCTTAGAGACTCCTGGTCTTCAGACTCAGGCTGATGGGACAGCATTTGAAATGAGTGCTATGTAATGCCCACTTCTAACAGACTGAAATGAAACCCTAGAAAAACTAGTTGCCACTAACCAATAATCACACATTGAGTTTTATTAAGTCATAGACTGTTATTTCAGTCATCTAGGAGCATCTATGTAATTTTCACAGAATGGATTCACACGTACTTATCATGGGAGTTTTTTTTACAAGCAGAATATGTATCAGGACACATTGCTTTATGGGCTTTTGGCACAAATTTACAAAGATAGGTTCTAGCTCTCTCATTCACTGACTAGTTCTAAACATAGATTTAAAAAAGAGGATAGGTATTAGAGGAATTAATAAAAATGCACTAAAATCCTAGTTAATATTTAAGTAGCCTCCACTTTTCTACATTTTCAGGTATACATCCTGGCATAGCCTCCATGAACACACTTCTGACAATCCAGTAAATGGGAAGAGGTTGAAGAGAACAGGTTCTACAGTGAGTCTTACGCTCTGGTCCATGGTTTCAAATGTCAGAGGGTGTGAAGGGTGGGATGAGTACTAGAAGGGGAAGGAAATCAGAAGACAGGGTTAGGATGATGCAGGGAGTTTTAGAAATTTTGGGGGGAACCTGTTTTTATTCTAATCTCAGCACTTATATATTGAAATGCTTAAAAAATGATCAACTGTCTCATTTCATATACCTGGTAATAGTTATATTACATTATATTGATTTTAAAAGTTAAATGTATCAGCAAGCACATTACCTAAGATGCTCCAGGACAGCAGTGGAGACAGAGTATCTGGGACAGAAGGAACTGCTCTTCGGGCAGAGCTGCAGATCGGGGTTCTGAGCGGCCCCTAAACCAGCAGACAGCACTGGTTCCAAATACAAACCCTCCATCAACTTCACTCCACAGATACTGCAGGTGTATTCCAGCAACTTGTATTTAATGAGTCATGTTTCCAAGAGATTCTGATGCTTCAGTTCAAGACCCACTGCTCAGCTCACTGGCATCTGTATTCACATTACTGATAAAGGACCACGGGCTACACTTTCTGGGGTGTGAGCTAACTTCTGTGCTCATGAAGGAAAGCATCTGGCTGAGCACCAGTGAAATGGCTAGGCCTAGACTGAAGGGCTGCCAGCGTGGTGCTGTACTTTCCTCCTACTCCCCCAGCGCTCCTCCCTTCTAGTGCCTCACATGTGTGTGCCGAGTTGCTGCTGAGGTTTTCCATGTCTGACGGCTCTCAGGAGTAGGGATGCCGTTACACTTACACACATTATTGACGTATCTACTCAAAATTTAGGATGTCCTTGAGAAACATCTGGATTTACTGTATTTCCCTCCTACATGGGCAAAGAGGCACTTACTAAAGAGTAGGGACCTGGGTAAGAGGCACAGGGAGGGGGGCAGGGACAGAACTGAGGCAGAAGGTGCAGAGTGCGAAGCGGGCAGACTCGGGTGAATGCCCTCAGGAAGATGCAGAGGGTGTCTCTGGTGTGGAAGGACGGACACACATTTCTAAGGAACTGCTTCTTGATATTTAAATGAAACCCTCAAACCTTCCCTTTGCTATCAACATTCTGTCTTGTCTGAAACACTGTATTAAATGTGCACCTTGTTTTTATGTTGTTTTCAAAAGGAGTTATAAAAACACACTTTGGGGTTTTTTTTTTTTTAAACAGTACAAAATTACAGAAGGTGACAAAATCTACATTTTAGGATATCTCCATAAGTTCTGAGCCACTAGAACGTAAGGTATTGATGTTAAAAAGGCAAATGAAATTTTAAAAACTAAAATGACTTAGAGAAGATTTTTCTTGTCTTATTCTGAACAGTAAGAATTTAAAAAGCTTTCATTATGGTACATATGATAAAATACTTTTACACAAAACTGAAAAAATATGACAGACCAAACACCTTTAAAGTAAGGACAAAAATCAGCATCTTTTTATAAACTCATTTGAAAAGTCAAAATGACAAGTATATTTCTAATTAAAGCAGTGGAGACACTGTATTATTTATACAGGACACATTCAAATTAATGATCTTTAAAAGCGTGAATAGAGACATGATGACAACCTTCAGTTTTCAAATCTTGATCTGAGCCTACATTTTCTGAAAAAAAAAAAACAGTGTCTTGATAATGAGACCACTCTCCCAAATGATCTACATTACTGTATAATAACTTATCAAGATGTTTCACATCTAAGATTGTTTAATAATCTTCTAGGTAAAAAGTACCTGTCATGATAATGAACCTTTGCAAACTCATGGTTTTTCCCTCCTAAAATTATACATCAGTGCTTCCCGTTGAAGGCGCACAGACTGAGACAACACTGCCACCATGTGGAACATGCATGTACCACAGTTAGAAACATTTCAAAATCAAGCAAACCTTCAGCTTAGTAAGGCAACTGAAATATTCTTTATTCTAAAATGCAAGGGAAACAAAGACAAATAAGTATTTTGGTATTGTTTAAGTTACATGGGAGGTCCACTTTTGGCACAGACAGCTGGACATTCAGACTAACAACATCAAAATGCCCGTTATGGAAATTATCCTTAGCCTTGCAACTCAAGAGCATGTTTTAGAGGTCAGTGGGGTCTGTATAGGTGGAGCTGGTTAGAAATGCCAACACAGGACTCAGCTCCTCTGCGCAGAACGGCAATCTGCATTTTAACAGAAGCCTCGGGCGACTGGTGTACACACTGAAGGCCAAGGAGAAACACACGCCTAGGCTGAGTTCAGGTCTCCTGCACCCCCCACCCCTACCCTTTCCTCCTTATCCATCTACAGTATCTAACCATGGGACTCTTGCCCAAATTCCACACAGTTAAGACAGCAATAGCTGATCCTACTTGAATTACCTGATTAACCTTTGGAAATATGGGAATCTATTTTATTTTCTTAGGTTAAACTGATGGGTTAATTATACAATTCAGAAAAATGTTTAAAAATTTTCCAGAAAAAAGGGCTTGTTTAATTTCAGGAGAGATTATTTTATTTTGCCCAGTCAGAGCCCTTCAGCATAAAGAGACATTCATATACATATATATGAACATTTCCAGAAACATTTATAATACATTTTTTAAAATACCAGCTTAATGGTATTTATTTACAAAAATATTTCATTACCTAATTTTAAACCTTTTGCTGTGATGACAGTTCTCTTTGCTGATAAAGTACAGGAATGCAAAATAACTACAAAGTCTTAACATATTTTTAGTGTTAGCAATAATGCTTTTTTGTTTTTAATGAAACAGTACACAGAAAATCTTTTAAACTGTATTTCAAGTGCATATTCCAGCAATTACCATTGAGATAGTTACTGGGACTGAGCAAGACTAAAAAACAAAATAAAACAAAAAACAAGTGCAGTAACAAAAAACACCTGCGTGTACAGTTTAAAGTATACACAAGCTAGAGCTCTACAGCGCGCATGCCTGCCCTGACATGGACAATGCGAAGAGAAACTAAAGCTTGCTCTTTTTCATATCATCTTTTAGTAATGCATTGACAAAGAACCAATCGTGTAACTACAAAGCAAAATATTTTTCTGATTCTAACTACCATGTTAACTAGAGGTCACACCTAAAGTATCACAGTACTATTTATTTACAAAAAGAAAAGAAAAAGAAAAGGAAAGAAAGTATGACTTATCTTCTTTGCATTGATTGCCATTGATACATTAAGTCTGGTTTCAGTTCCTTACATTGTCTTCAGTTGAAGCAAAGTTTAGACAACACAAAACAAACAGCAAAAGTATTTTAAAATAACAAATAAACAGAATTTCATTGCCATTAACCCATACCCATTTTAAGTGCCTGAGTCAGAAGACCTACAATAAATTAATACTCATTTATTTATATATACTATAAAGCTTAACTTTAACCTATAAGCCTCATTCACTGCAAACTGGAAAAACTGACATTCATGAGTTTTCTGATGTAAGGAGAAAAATAAAAATAGCACTTACAAGTAGCACTGGACTGCCATACTCAATTTATAAATGAACCGTGCCTAATAATTTAACTGTTAGTAATTGAAGAAAGCAATGCTGGTAACTGGGACATTATTAAAATAATTTAATTCAGCTGAGAATGCTAGGCTAAAGTTTTCCCTTTGTTTAATTTATTTATTTTTTTGTTGTAACAACCACTTTCTATCCACAGAACCCTTGACACATTTGAGGCAGTAGTAAGATCATAATGTTCATAGGAAAAATAATCCCTGTAGCACTTTACAAGATATTGATCAGAATGATGACAAGAGCAATTAACAAAAGCTGTAAACAGTATCTTCACATTCATTTTTAAATGAAAAAAAGTGGGCATAAATCTCAATCCAAGAGAACAAACACCCTAAAAAGGAAAAGAAAAAATATATAGGAGTGTTTTTTTTCAAAGTAAATACAGATTAAAAAGCCTAAGAATATTGATCAAGTATCGTACTGATAAGGAACAAATTCTATCAACTATAAAATAAAAACCTTCATTGACAAAAATACATAAACTCTGTTTTCTCTTTTGGAAATTTATTTTTAAAAAAGGTAGAAGAAAATACCTGGAAAACTATTTTAAATCTATATATCTATATATCTATATTTTAAAACAATAGTGAAGGTAGACATCCCACAGTAAGTTACAGCTATTGAGAAAGATCTCGAAATTGTTGTTGTGGGCATTTCCCCCAAAATAAAATATTTGAAAGTACTCAATAGAGGGTTTTCTTTTAAAATAAGCATACTAATGGTATCTTTCCTGTCATGTGTGAAGACTTTTAAATGATGTTTTTTTTTAAATTAATTGTATCTCTACATGAGATACCAGTATTTCTTATTATAAGCAAAAACATAACTTTTTGTATGGATAATATACATACTTTTTAAGTACTTTGACTTAACAAGTTCACCATTTTTTAAATGAAAGTACATTTATAAAAGTTTCATTTTAAAACTAAAAGTATATTCTCTAGCAGTATGTATAAATATAACATAGTACTGTGTGATTGTAAAACAAATCTGAAAGTGCTGCCATAATTTAAGACCAAGAACACTAAAACATACAGCAAATAGTTTTTTTTTTTAATCTTTGAAAACTATATAAGACCCTATTAAAGGTTTTAAAACTGATCAGGTTAAGGTCTGGCTAGCAGCATATTCATGAGTTTGGTATGTTTTATACACATGTATCATTTGATTTAAACTGAGAAATATGAATCAAATAATACAAAATAGTCATTACCCCAAATAAAGTGCAGAAAAAGTTCAAGTTTAAAGTTCAGTGCTCTTTACTTTGCAGAAACAAAATAAAATTCTCAAAGTTAAAATGCAAAATAAATCTTTGCCACAAAAAAATTTTACCTTTGGATATAGCTTTTCTTAATGTCACATGAGAAATACCTTAAGCAAAACATGTACAGAACACAAAACTCAGGGTGAAACTTTGAACTCCATGGTATCTTTCACATAATTTTCCTTTCCTAAGCTGTCTCCCGAGTCCCCTGTAACCTAAAAGCATGTAACACTTTCAGACTTGTGTAAAACATTCGCTTACCTAAGCGAAATAACTTCAGAGGAACCTACAAATAAGAAGTTCTAAGTAAAATAAAAGCTTCTATCTTTAAAGTATTATACTTAAGTTAAATTGCAATATACTTACACAAAGTAGCAGCATTTTTTTCACATCCATAAAAATCAAATTAAGAAGTTAGTAATAGCTCAGCTGAATCTGTAACCAGATTTTGGAAACACATTGTATGACTGAAATGCAAACCAAGGGGATTAAAGTGATGCAAAACTTCAAATAGACATAATGTACAGAATTTGTCAAAATGTAAGATTTCAAGTAACACTAAGCAAATATGTGTGTGTGTTTGTGTGTGTTAATATCAATCTTAGCTTGCAAAGTGAAATGAACTACATGTATGGTACATACAGGGAAACCACTTCCTACTGACAAACTGCTCAGACTGAAAAATACTTCAAGGATTCTTTGAGTCAAAGACAATGCAACAATGTTAAGGATATGAAATAAGCACAGAAATTAAGAAATATCTTTCATTTTTGTGGTGTTTTCTATTTTGGCCCTTTTTTGGTTAGTTTTCCTGAAATCCTGGCTTGCTGGTGACTATTTTTGCATTAAAAAAGATGTTATCTTTTAAATTACAATAAATTCCCTGGGTTAGTTATTACTTCAAACTATCTCTTTTATCTACAGACTGCATCAAGTAAACTCTGAGAATCTTATTTCCTATATTCAAAAATACTTTAAGCTTAATAATCCTAAATTTTCAGTCTCTTCAGCTCAATTTATAGATTAAAAATGAAACAAATAATTTAAAACACTGATTTAACATTTTCTTACAAAATTCCTCTCAGGTAAATCTACTTCTGTATTTGGAAATAATTACAAGTTTGGCTCATTTTACATACAAAAGGAAAAAGGAAGTTATATGCAAATAACAACATGGCAAATTAAAGAAAGCTAATATGGCCCTCCACTTAGATAAGGAATCAACCAGGGTATTTTAATGTATTTAAAGTTGCTCAACTTTTTCAAATCTGTAACTACTAATGACATTCACAAATTCTTCCTGTGACATATCATGAACAGTATGTTTTCTGGATAATACAGAATACAAAGTAAATAATTTATATACTGCTGGATGTTCATCAGACAGCGGACAATAAACAAAATTCTGTTAGCCATTGCTACTTTCTACAAATTCAAAAACTTGGAAATGATTTACTTTTAAAGTATTTCTTTTGGCTTGACCAATTATATTACATATATCTAGTCTCCATCCAATGATACTTAAAGTAAATTTTGATGTAAACTTTTGTATTCAATAGTGTATATTATATTAGAAAATGTAAACCAAAGCTTTATTAATCAAAACAATAAAGAGGAAAATATGTGTAAGACTGAAAAGTTAAGATGTTCCACACATACCTTTAAAGATCATAAGGAATAGAAACACAACCATGTTTGATAACATTTTGTGCTGATTATCACTTAATGAAAAACTGGAAATGATTTTAAACAATTTTTATAGAAGAAAATATTTAAATTTTATTAACATTAATTTTAATATTTGTTTTGCTCTTTGCTGCTTTAACAAGAGTCAGTCTCAAATTAGCTGCACTATGAGATTGCTCATTTCCAGGTCTAGGGAGTGGTTTCTTTCCCATCTGTGATGCCTTTCTAGAAACCATTCATTCTCTACTGCTGTCTCAATTTGCATTATACTCCGTTACAGAAACAATTTAAATACCCTAAGTGTATTCTCCCTTTCCTTTTTTTTTTTCTAAACTTTGAAAGGATATATACAGATTTATAATGTATTTCTACAGAAAATATTTTGTAGGTCATCAGACTAGACGCATATAGATAGATCATTATTGGCAACAGATGCTGTAATTTCCCATGCGACAGCATGTGCACTAAGATTTAACTGGCTCGTCACCTGAGTGTACTGGAACTGTTAGCAAGTAAAGGGTATTTTAAAGAGGGAGCTGAGCATTTTACTGAAATAATGAAACATTGTTTTTTTAGCAATTTTAATTAAATAATGCAAAGGTACATTTAGTTAAACATTTTATAAAAACTCAAGCAAAATTAAAAACGTAGCCAATTTCAACTTTTCTACAAATTTAACTGATAACTGTTTTGGTCAAATCCACCTTTAGCTGAATTAATGAGAACAAGGACAAAGGACTTCAAAGTATTCTCCTCACCACAATGGAGGTTTTTCTCACTTTCCACACTGCATAGCCACTACATGGAAACTTCCAGAATGATGAGCAATTCAGTCATGCTCTACACTTTTCTTTTCAATGAAAAGTGATGTATCGCCTTGTTTTGCTTTTGACAAAATATAAACTAAACACAAGTATGTAATAACAAGAATCCAATAGTAGCTCATACACAAGTCAACTATGTGTATGTTTTTATTATTTAAAGCCCACCATTCAGCTTAGTCTAAAGATATGGTAACAAACAGTTTCTTTTTTACTAATGATACTGATGACCAGTCAGTTTAAGGGAAGGAAAGTCCAATACGGCTGTTTATAATCCAGTCCAACGACACATAGATAAATATTTCAGCTTCAGGACTTCAGACTTATTGCCTCTCCCCCAAAAGATCAAACACTGATGGCAGATACAACGGCACAAAATCTTTTGGCATATGAAAGTTTAACACAGGAATGATCCAAGGAGTATTCCCTGCCATGTCTCTGCAACAGCCCCCTTTGTTTCATTTGTCAAGTGTGGCCTGCTTAGCTCCCGAACTGTCAACTCAAGCTGGCACACACCATACACTCTGGATTCAGGATGTGCACACTCGCCTCAGGTAAAGCTGAGACTGAGGTAAAACAGTGCATGATTGTGCTAGAAAAGAACTGCATTCAGTGAGGAGCATCCTGTTAATGTTAACTTTCCTAAATCATCAATGAAATAAAAACAGGAAAGCTGTTTTCCTTCTGGCAATGTGAAGTTGTTTGATGCTGGCTGTCAGAACTGGTACCACTTCTTATCTTTGTATTTTAACATCATCTGTAAGAAGAAAAAGCAAGAAAAACATGCTTTTAAAAGGTCAGCACAAGAATAACTGGTTTCTGTATTTTACAAACACATATTCTGAAACATTCTGTAGAGTTATTACATGGCTCACTGAAAATAAATTTATTGAAAGCAATAAAAAACTTCCATGTAGAAGAAAAATGACCATGACTATTTAAAAACTAGCCAACTAGGCCTTTAAACTTCTTAGAAATGTGATGCAATTTGGAGACTGAGATAACCCACAAATAAGGTAACTGTAAAAATAATGCTTCAAGAACCAGATGTGAAGTTGAACATTCTATTACTACTATTATCTCAAATTTACTCAGCTCCTACCTAGAGCCAGGTACTGAATGACATACTTTCCCTACTTGATTTCATTTGATCTGCGTAACAATTCTTGGATTAGATATTATTTTTCTTTCCATTTATAAATGAAGAAGCACCTGAAGTTTCTAGGCCTACACAAAGTTAGTTAGTATTGTGGTGAACCTTGGATTTAAGTGGACATAGTCTGACTCAAGAATGCATGATCACACAATTATCTCAATGTCTGTCTCCCTTAGACTCAAATATGGCTGAGGAACCAAGTTTTGTTGAAGGGAAAAGCTGAGTTTGGGATTGTGCACTCTGCTAAGTAGAGTGTGGACATACTGTGAAACTGACTGAAGTTTCTACACACCCTGGAAATCACACTGTTGGGTGCAGGGGTTGTAACAACAAAAACCCTATCCTAGATGGAAGGATACTAACTCACCTGCATTTGAAGGGCATAGGGGCAGAGTAAAAGAAAATCTCTGAATCTCTCTGAAGCCCTGGACAAACATCTCCCAGGTCAAGTTACTTCTTCCATGTATTCTAAATTTCAACATCCTTGCTGAGATGACTTTTGGTTGGAATGTATAAAGGAAAGCAAATCCTAAAGAGTGGATGCTCAAGGGTAAAAATAACCTTGATATGGTTCCTTCAGACAACAAACTGAAAATATCCTCAAGCTAGGAACTAAATATGGGTAAGTATCTCAGTTCAAAGCATGGCAGATGTGTGCAAAAATGAAAAGTGTGCATTTTACACAACGGCTTTCAAATTCAGCATTTAGAGAGCACTATGTTAACTATAGAAACGTTTTTGTCAGAGAGCTGTTTCAGGACTATACTGTTTCTCAGCTGCACCGTGACTTCTGAGCTCCATCGAGGTGAATTCATTGCAAAAGACACCTGCTGCCCCTCATGTGAACTGCTGTGAGACAGACTTACTATTGTTTATCTGAATCAAATGTCTGCCAACTTCAGTTATTTAGATCTATCTGGGAGAATCAGGGAGGCAAATTATTCCTTTTCGAGGACAAGGTGGTAGTACATTACGAGGAATTAAAGCAAACCGTTATTGTTACTATATTCCCTAAGAAATTGCTTGCATTATTGAAGATTCAGATGAGCAAGTTCCTTCAAAATTTATAAATTTCAGTAAGGGCAAAGACTTCTGAAGCACATGCTTGTAATGGTTCCTTCTTGTGACAAAAATCAAGAATTTGTGATTATACAAAGAATGTAAGAAAATTCAGTGTAGAAATATAATCGCTACAACAATTGTCACACTTGCTTTATCTAGGTTCCTCTTATCTTTTCGATGGACATACCTCGTGGGCATGTTTAGAGAATGCATCTGCACTTGATAACATAGCTGCTGTTCTTTCTTCCAAGTCGCCAAGCTTTTGCCCTCTTTCATCTAATGCCAAACGGGCTCGTGCCAATTCACCAACCACTCCAGATGCTGCCCCTTTCACACCTTCGATGCCACCAGGGCCAGGAATATGCTGTGCAAGACTTCTTGAAGCCTTTCCTGAGGATGACTCTCCAACTGATTAGATCGGTATATACAAAAAGTAACTCAAATAATGAAAATGTTGTAAGTATAAATCCTATTACATGATAACACCGAAGTACAATTTTGAATTAAGTGACTATAAGAATATTGATATAGTTCTCTTTAATATACATTTTGCTTTTACCATGATGGTCTAAACAATTTCAAGATACTTTTTTGAAAATGCAAAAATAACCCATTAACAAATATCCCATGCTAGTTCAAATATATGCTTTCGAAGGACTTCTGCAAAAAGGACCTGGTAATTATTTGTTGAAATGAATGCGGTGACTAAAAACAATATGCCCACTGGCAAATTGACATTAATTTACATAGTTAAAAATTACTCTTAAGGGATCACATTATTAAAATTATTACCTTAAAACTATTTAACTTCAAATATACAGATTTACATTTAAATATACAAATCTGATTTTGTTTGCTTGACACAATGACTATGCTTAGGCTCAGAGGAAAAATGAATTTATTCACTATTCTTTTTCAGTCTTCATAATTTGTAGATACGCTGCATTCCTTCCTATCTCCATTTATCTTGTCATTTACCAAATAGATCAAATTTCTCCTTCAAAATATCTTAGGATTTACTGTTTTCCCTCCACTCATAATCCAGCTCCTGATTATCTATCCCTTTCCTTTTCTTCCCTTCCTTTCCTTCTTGCTTTCATATAATTCATATACCATAAAACTGCCCCTTAACGTAAAGATACAGTGATTTTAGTTTATCACAAGACTGTGAGAACATCACCACTACGTACTTTGAGAATATTTCATCATTCCAAATGAAGCCCCATGCCTGTTTGCAATCATATTCCATTTATTTCTCTTTTCCCACTCTTTGTCAACCACTAATCTATTTTACCTCTATATATCTCATATTCTTAGTATTGCATGTAAATGGATTCATATAGCATGCAGCCTTTTGCGCCTGGCTTCTTTCATTGAAAATAATGTTGTCAAGGTTCACCTATATTATGCTATAGCAATTATCTGTACTTTACCTCTTTTTATGGCTGAATAATATATAATTTTGTGGATGTACAATATTTTGCTTATCTGTTCATTAGTTCATGGACATTTGGGCTCTTTCATTTTGTTTTTTATGCCATTATAAATAATGGTATGATGACCATTTGTAGAAGTTTTTGTGTGCACATGTTCTCAGTTCTCTGGGTATATGCTCAGAAATGGAATTACTGAGCTCTTAATAGTAATTTAAAATATGTAAATGAATGTAATACACTTAACTCTATGTCTAACTTTTTGAGGAACTGCAGGACAGTTTTCTTTAAGAGGATGTACCATTTTTCATTCCCACGCACAAGATGTGAAGAGTTCTAATTTCTTCACAGCTGCTAATGCTTATTTTCATGCATCTCTTTGACAGCCATCCTAGTAAGTGTGAGGCCACTGCTCACTGTGGTTTTGATTTGTATTTCCTGAGTAACAAACAGTGTTGGGCACTTTTTTATGTCTTTATTCATCAGCTGTGTATTTTCCTTTTAGAAGTATATATTCAAATCTTCTGCCCATTTTAAAATTAGGCCATCTTTTTTTGTCAAGTTATAAGTTTTCTTTATGTATCTTAGATACTAAATCTTATTAGATATCAGATATGTGATTTGCAAATTGTTATCACTTTTTGGATTATATGTTTCACTTTCTTGGAGCACAGAGTTTTAAATTTGGATGAATTCACATCTGTCTCTCTCTGTCTGTCTCTCTCTGTTTGCTTCTGATTTAGGTGCCATACCTGAGAAACCACTGCCTAATCTAAGTTCAAAAGATTTGTATCTATGTCTTCTCTGAGTTTTATGCTTTAGTTCTTATACCAACATCTTTCAAACGTTTTGATTTAACTTTTGTGTATGCTCTGAAGTTGCAGTTGAACTATTTTTTTTTAATGTGAATATTCAGTTCCCAACATCAATTGCTGAAACAAAACGTTCTCTCACCACGGAATTTTCTTGGCAGCCTTATAAAAATTAATTGACTATAAATGTTACAAGGTTTATTTCTGGACTCTCAATTCTACCCCAGTAATCTACACAGCTGTCTTTGTACTAGTTTTCCACTGTGTTGTCTTACAGCCTTGTGGTCAGTTCTGAAACTAGAACGTGTCCTCCAGTATTTCTCTTCTTTGTCAGAGTTTTTGGTTGGTTGACTGGGCTATTTTGTATGTATGTATTTTCATATGAAATTTAGAAATACCTTCCTGTTTTATACAAAGACCCAATGAGGATTTGGATAAGGATTATGTCAAGTGTGTAAATCACCGTGGAGAGTACTGATATCTTAACAGTACTTCTTCCAGTGAATGAACATGAGATGCTGGTACATTTACTTATCTCTCAATTTCTTTACATTGTATTCTGAAGTTTTTAGAGCATATGTCTTTCACTTCTGTTAAATTATTCCTAAGTGGTCTATCTTTTTGTGCTATTATAATACAACTGTTCATTTTATTTTTGGGTTATTTATTGCTAACATATAGACATATAGTTGATTTTGGGGGGTATGAATTTCTTAGGATCTTCTGTATGGAACACTGCATCATCTGCAAATGTCTTTTATTCCAATCTGCAAGCCTTTTACTTCCTTTTCTTGTCTAATTTTTAGGTTAGAACTTCTAGTACAATGTTGAACTGAAGTGATGAGAGCCCTCTGAAAAATTTCCATATAAAATTTTCAATGACCCATACTTTGGGGGGAAGTATTTTGATTATGTATATTATATGTATATTTGCACACACATTCATCCATATATATATATAATGCATTTTATCATACATAACATCTTGCATTATCATGACATCTTGTATTTTATCATACATGACACCTTGTATTAAATTTTTTCACTCTATAAATGTAGTGTATGCATCCATTTATTTGAGTCTCCTTTAATGTTTCTCAACTAAGTTTTTATATTTTCTGTATTCCCCACTGAGGTCCTGAACATTTTGTGTTAATATTTATTTCCAGGTACTTTAATTTTGGTGCTGGGGATTGAATCCAGGGCCTTGTGCATGAGCACTCTACCCCTGAGCTACACCCCCAGGCAATCTGCAGAAGAAAATTTGTGGTAGTATTATGAGCAGCTAAGTTGGACAAAAACTAACAGGAAGTCAGACAGGGATGGGCCTGTGAGAGTCAGTGCAAAAAAGGAGAACACACCAAAACTGTAGCTGGAGGTGCACACACTGAAGACCAGGCCTAAACGCCTCCCTGAGGGATAAAATTAATTTGAGATTATACTGTGATTGGTATCACCTGGTCCAGTAAAGTCCAGACAGACAACAGTCACCCCGGAGGGGGACCAGAACATTAGGACCCATCCCTTCTCAAAAATGCTTTTGTTCCTTCTATGTATCCTTGCTACATGACTCACTTTCATATTAGATCAACACTAGCTAAGTAGCAATACTTGTAATCCTATAGATTGATTGTAGTCTGACACCTTTCACCTCCGTTGTACACATACTGTGCCCCTTTGCTATATAAATTATCTCTTTAAGTGACAACCCACTTTCAGGACCACTCTTGTCTCTCAGGAGCTATATCTCAATAAATCTTTCCTATACTTAACCTCCACTGTCCTTGGGGATTCATTCTTTGATTTCAGGGGACATCTAGCAAGTTGATAGCCATAGGAAGAAAATGGTATCCTTCTCTTGCAAAATGGCCATATTCTAATGAATACATTGCCTTGTAATGGAAAAGAGACTTTGTAGAAATGATTGAATTAAGGACCTAGAAACGGGGCAATTATCCTGCAGTATTTAGGTGAGCCAAATTTAATCACACAAATCCTTAAAAGCAAAATGCTTTTCCTAGCTATAGGGAGAAAAAAAGAGGTGGAGAGAAAGGGAAAGGAAGGAGGAGATATGAGACTTCAGAAAAACATAGATGCAAAGGGACCAGAAGTATAGAAATACATATGGTCTCTACAAGCTAAAAGGCCAAAGAAATAAGACTGCCCGAGAGCCTCCAAACAGACAGCCCTGGAAACATCAGTAAGACCCATGTTGGTTTCTAATCCACAGAATATAACATGGTACAACTGGCTGTTTTAAGCCAGTAAGTTTGTGGAAATTTGTTACAGCAGCAATAGAAAACTAGTGCAAAAATTTTTAAAATTCTCATTTTATTAATATAATATAAACAAATTTAAATTTATTTTTCTGTACTGATTATATCCAGCAAGTGTGCTAAACTGTATTATTCCTAATAATGTAGTTATAGACTCTTTTGCATTTTCTAATGTAAATGACTTGTTTTGTTTTCCCTTTCCAATTATTGTAACTTTTTTTTCTGTTATCTTTCTATACCCTCTAGGGACTTCAATATATTTTTGAATAAATATAGTAAGTAAGGATAATGTTTACTCTTGATCTCAAAGATAAAGTTTTTATTATCTTTTAATGTCTGGCATTAAGTGTGCTATGTGTTGTTGGATTTGGCAGCTAAATGTTGTATAATATTTTGTAGTTACAATTTTATCAACTTACTTTCTAGGAATCTCTATTGTGAATGGATAATGAATTTTAAATCATATCTTTCTTGCACTTGAGTGGGTGTTCATGTGATTTTTCCTCTAATCTGTTAATATAGTAAATTACTGACTGATCTTTTCTTTTGTAAAGGTAAGTCAACTATGAACTGTTGGTACAAACCACACATGAAGTTGGTATACTGCCTTTATTACTAATGTTGGCTTCAACATAGTAATACTTCATTTTAATTTTTGTATTTATATTCATGGGTGATATTTCCCTTTTTCTCCCCTTTCTCATACTAGTTTGGTTTTTAGTATTAAGGTTATAATAACCTCACTAAATAAATGTTTTCTTTTTCTATTAGAGTTTATACAGAAGTACAATTATTTTTTTGTCTAAATATCTGTAAGAACTCATTAGTGAAGACCAATTTGCAGCAGGAGTTTACTTACAGAAAAGTATGAAGTGACAGTTTCAATATCTAACAGTTATAGTGCTATTTAGATTTTTATTTCTGTTTTTGGTAGTTTACTTCACCAAAAGTTTCAAAAATTTTGCTGTAAAATTATTTTTAAAAGTATTTTTTTTCCCATTTCCTTTTTTATTTGTGCCTCTTTTTTCTTGCTGAGTTTTACCACAGCTTTATTAGTTTTACTTTTTTGTTTAAAAATCAGCCTTTAGCTTTTGTTATATTAAGTTAATAACTAAAATCAAATCCCCAATGTGATGCTGGGGTGAGACCTTTGAGAGGTAATCAGCCTTCAGGAATGGGGTTAGTGCGCCGTAAGGGTCAGAGAGCTAGCTTGCTCTCTCTCTCCCTTGCAGACACAGCAAGAAGTACTTATGCACTTATTTATTTTCTTTCAAAATCATTGTTTCCTACATCTCCAACATTCCACTGAGAATTATATTCCTTCTATCTGAAGTACACCCTTTAGCATTCCCTTTAGTGTGTTAGCAATGCCTATTTATTTATTCATTTGCCTAGAAGTATCTTAATCTAAAATTCTGAGATGAAAATACCCTTCAATAATTACAGTCAGCATGTAGATCATCTTATCATATACTGAGACGTCAGTTATCCATCTATAGCCTGTTAAAAGGCATCTATTATGTTTTCTAACCACTTTTAGTCTTTAATGTGTATTTTCATAAAATATATCTACTTGAGAAGTTTAAAAATATCTGGAACTTACTAAGTTTCTTGAATTTGTGGATAACCATTAATTTCAAAATGTTCCAGGGATATTTCTTTATACTGCATACTGATTCTTCTTATTTCACTCGAAGTCTGAACATGTTATATATTCTCATAGCAACTTCTATTTTAAATCCTTTATGTATTTTACTTTTTTCGTCTTTGTGCTATATTCTGGAAAACTTCTTCTAATATTTAAATTATGTAATTCTCTCTTTACCTATGTCTAATTTGCACTTAATGTTCATCTAAAGAGTATCAATGGTCTTTTCAATCTTTCAGTTCAAAAAGTCCATTTTAGATTTTTTTCATCTACTTTACTGATTTTTATTATCTTCAGTTATCTGATAAAATGTCCAGGTATAATATTTATCCTCGTGAACATAAAATGGATTGACCAGCCGAAATCCAAAACTACAAAATCCAAAACTTCTTGACAGCTAACACGATACCCAAAAAATTTCAGATTTTAAAGCATTCCAGATTGCAGATATTTTTAATTAGAGATGTAGAACTGGTAAATTTTATGCAAATATTCCCTTGTACTACAAGATGAACAGAAGCCTTTGGGGACCAGGAAAGGAATATTATGGCAAGGATCTTCAGTCCCCTAGAAGCTCTGGTGTCAAAGGCTTGGTTCTCAACTGGTAGTGCTGTTGGCCCCACTACAAGTTGGAGCCTAATGGAGGGAGGACAAGTCACTTAGGGCTTGCCCTTAAGCGGGATACTGGGACCGTGGGCTCTCCATTCATTTCCTCTACTTTCTGCTTACCATGAGGCGAGCAGCTTTGCTTCACCATAGATGCCATACACACTATTCTAATGTTCTGCTTTCCAGCATGCTCAAAAACAACACAGCCAACCCAACCATGGACCAAAACTTCTGAATCTGTGAGCCAAAACTAATCCTCCTTCACTCTAAGTTTATTTTTTAGGTATTTTATCACAGTGATGGAAATCTGATTAACATACTCATCAGTGAAAGACAATTTTAGGAATAAAATAATAAAGATGACATTTAATTTAAATAAAATGCTCTCTGAATTATACTGAAAGTTGTGAATACTTCTTTTCTGCTTCTAAAGTATCCTGATTTTGGTCCCCTGAAAAAATATTTTCCTGCTTTGGGAGAGAATGACAAAATATATACTTTGTTAAAATGTGGATATATTAATTATTGAGATAAAGAGAAAAAAGGTGAACAACTCAAACTAAACAAATTGACTTACATAGTTCTTCTCTATCAAGAGACTGTGCACCACCTCCAAATAAGCCTTTAAAGAATCCCCTGTTTGGTGCTTCAGGTGTTTCTACAGGAGTGAAGAGTTCACCCAACATCTCCTTTAAAATCAAAACAAATTTTCATTGTTAAGTCTTCAGGGAAATTACACTGATTAACAAAACCATTATTGTAAGCTATTTAATATAAGTCCAGACAATTAACTGTTGAGATTCACAAACAATTAATGAGCACATTTCAAAGGATCAGGATCAGATCTGATAGTACTGACTTATTCAAAGAGTATGTTTTTAAATTAAGACTTACTGCCTGCTTATTTCACTAGATTATACTTGGAATTTCAGGTAAAGATGGTATTTCTGCTTAGGCTGTAAGGCATTTACCTGCCCTCTCTTTGAGTCTCTTCTACACTTTGCCAAGATGTTATTCTAGTTTATGACTTGTCTTTTCTAATTTCTTAAGTGTGTTTTGAAGAGCAAAAGTTTTAAACTTCGTTAAAGTTATCAACTGTTTTTTTAAAGATGGTGCTTTTGGTGTCACAGATAAGAAATCTTTGCTTTACCCAGGGTAATAAAGATTTTCTTTTGTTTGTGTGTGGAAGGTTTTGGATTTTCAGTAGCTCCAGAATCATTTGTTTAAATAGCCACATTTCTCTATTATATCACCTTTTTCAAAAATTAGTTGTTCATATACGAGTTTATTTCTGAATGCTCTGTTCTGATCCACTGGCGTAATTTTGTCTTGATGCCAACATCTTTTGAATATTTAGAATACAGCAATAATACTGGTTTCATATCTTTCAGTGTAAATTCTAATGTTTATGTCCATTCTGGTTTGATTAATATCTTCATCATGGGTTCTATTTTTCCATATCTTTGCATGCCTGGTAAGCTGACTGGATAATGGACCTTGCAATTTTTAACTTCTTGCGAGTTGGATATTTCTCATTTTACCTAAGTTTTCTCGAACTTCATTACGTACACTAAGAAATATTTGGCCTTTTGGGTCTTGCTTGTATAATCTGTTAGGCAGGTCTGGAGCAGAGGATAAAAACTGGTCATCCAGATATATCAAGCTCAAATCCCTACAACTCACAAATGTTACCTCGTCTAGAAAATAGGTCTGTACAGATGTGATTAAGTATCCTGCTCTGGGACAATTATCCTGTATTATCTGGATCAGCTGCAAATTCATGTTAAGAGACAGAAGCAGAGGAAACTGTGATGCACACAGAGAAGAGGAGGCAACATGGTCATGTGGCCATGGAGGCAGAGACTGGAGTAACGTGGCTGCAAGTCAAGGAGTGGCAACAGCTACCAGAAGCTTAAGAGGCAAGAAACCAACTGTCCTTGACCTTCTGGAGGCAGTAAGGACCTACAAGGATTTTTACTTTGGCTTAGTGAAATTGATTTTGGACTGCTGACTTTCCGTAAATATGAGCAAATAATTTCCTGCTTTCCCCCCCAAAAAATTTGTGGTAATTTACTACCAGGAAACTAAAATACCCACAAACTATAAATTTTTTTCTAGTCTAGCTATTAAAACAGGCACTGTTTCTGGCCCAGGTACCAGGCACAGTTAGTTCTTCCAGATAGTTCTTCCTTTGGACAGAGGCTTTACTCACAACATGCCAAACAGCGTTTCGCGGAACACTCCTAGGGACCCTGCAGACTCCAGGCTTCTCGCTCTTCGTGGCTTTACTTGCTAACTTTCTTGGTGCACCCAAACTCTTGGTTCTGCCAAGCTCTGCCTCAGCACCATCTCTCTGTACATGCCTCACAAGTGAATGAAGCCGTTAAAGCTGGGACACCTTGTCTGTTTCCTCTCTCTAGGGATGGCTTTTCCTTGTCTTATGTCCAGGATCTTGAACACTATTGTTTCCTGAGTTTTGTTTGTTTACCTTCTTAGGTTGTATCAGGAAGAAAGGTTAATCTGGTCCCTATAATTTCAACGTGGCTAGAAAGTCCATTAATGTTTGTAGGCATCTTTTATGTTTTCGGTGAAAGTTAAATGAATGCACAATGTAAAATATGCATTTAAGAAACCAAGAAATAGTATTTATAAAGTTCACAGTAGACTTCATTTGACAAATTTTTATCAAGGCATTTTTTCCAGGTACTAAAAATTCAGAGGCAAACAAAATGCTAATATTTTCCCAGAAAATATTCAATCATAAACTTCTTAAAGAGTGACCATTTTTCATTATCTTGGTTTCATGAAGGCATATATTAGAATTATTGAAACAGTGTTTACTACTAAAACACCATTTCACTTAAACAAAAGTAAGTAAAGTTTACTATGGCTGCTATTTACTTTCACTACAGAACAGCTATGATGAAAGAACAGAATAAAATGATCTCAGTAAAGTGATGAAGTTTAGAGTTTTGTACAGTTGAATTAAGAACACAAATTTCAGATAGAAGTGAATTAAGAATATATTCAATTGTCCACATTATTTTTTAAAAAACAGTATTTTACTAGCAAAGGAAACACTAGCAAGAAATTGAGGTTTATCTTTTAAATAAAAAGCAAAATTTTATGTCAGAAACTTAGCAAACTTTGAAAACTGTTTTCACTCAAACATAGATGGGAACTTACATCAAAAATGTCAGATTTATGGATGGACCTTGAGACCACACTCTCAAGTGAAATAAACTGGACAAACACGTGTAAATGTCACACTGTCTCTCTGGTGGGAGAAACTGAAAGTGTAACTAAGAACCAAAATGAATAACAGGTTTTGCGAAACAGGAAGAATTGTTCAAAAGGAAAGAATATCTAGGTAGGAAGAAGGGAGAAAGAAAGGAAAGGAAAAATGAGAACAGAAGGATAAAATGGAAACAAAGCTGTGCAAATAAGGAAGGCAAGAAGGGTTGGAAGGAGGGAAGAAAGTAGGAAACAAAAAGGAATGAAGATTACTATGTACAGGTACAAATGCCCTATGATGAATGTGATCATATGTATATCTAAGCTGTACCAATAAACTTAATAAAAATAAAATAAACTGTCAGATTTAATTTTTATTCTCAAGGTTTACAACCTTCAGGACTAAATTTCCATTACAGTAAAACATTCTAAAGTAACAACAATAACATATGACATTTATTAAGCACATCTGCACTGGCACCATTAGCAAATTATTAAGTATCATCACCTATAGTCCACACCATACTGTCTGAGATATGTACTTGCTCTTCTTCTAATTTTAAATAAGGTGAAGCTCAGAGACAGTAACTCATCTAAAATCATGTAAGTGTACAGTGTGCAAAGGTAAACTGGATTGCAATCTTTTTGATTTTAAAGCTTGTGTTTTAAAAATAAGTAATAAACTCTAATTTACAAGTAAGACTAATGTCTCTTTAGCGTTTCATCTAAATGTCAATCAATATTTCAAGAACACTTTTACTTTAAAAAGTAAAGCCACACTGACCATTTCATTACATAGATATGTAGGCACACAGGACACCCAAATACTAAAAAAGACATATTGCCTTATTTAACATGTTCACAACAGAGCCATAGTTTTTATGTATCACTGCCAGGTGGCTTGAACTGCCAGTGGTACACGCAGGACAGTCCCACCAGGTGGCTTTTCACTAATTTTATTTGGAAAATACTCAATAAAAGTCATTAGATCTATTTGTTTCACCAATGGTACAAACTGCCTGATGGGCCGGTAAGCATGTGCCACTGGTGGCTCAAAAGGGCGGGAACAGGTTAATGCATGTGTTCATTGTCTCTCAAACACAGTGTATACATGTTATATTTATAATGATGTATAAATACCATTGTGAATACAGAGTATATACGAAAGGCTCACACAATTTGATAGATACAATTATTTTCACATTGATATACTTAAAAAAGGTCATGTGTATATGTCTATATTTATTGTATGTACAGTGGGTATAAAATGTATGTGACATTTCACATTTCTTTTCTATCCCTGGAAAGACAAATATGTCTCAGTAAAATGAAGTCCTTCACGTAACATGAATATGACAAAGGCAATTTTATCATACAACTCTCAAAGCAGTATGATAAAAAGGTTTTGAACTTTCCTAAATAGGCTCATTTGTATATTCCTGTGAAAAAAAAGGACAGAAATTATAAAGTTCATCAGAGAATTTTCACCTGTGAAAAATTATAGCAGTAGCTTTGTTATTTACCTGAAGATTTTCACAGGTCTCTTGACTGTATGTTAACCTCTGGATTTCTGTAGGTGAAACAAGATATAATGCTTGTCCATTGTTGGTGAAGCAGAATGTTCTGGCTATCCGCATATTGGTGAGGGGCAAGTAATATACATCCAACAGAGGCCTTAAGCTTGGCAAACTTCAGGAAAAAATTAAAACTTGTTAACAAAAAATGGTAGTTTTTAGTCTTGAACAGAGTATTATAGAAGTTAAAAATGGTAAAGATCTTGCAAATCTTGTAATTTAAGTTATACATCTGAGTGGAAGATAAAAAATTATTTGTATTTCTCATATACTTTTTCACTAGTTAACTTGAATGAAAATAAATTTTGAGTGTGCAATACTATAAACAAAAAAGGATTTCTTTCAAACTGAACATAATTCTGTAATATGATTTGAGGGAAGAAATGCCATATTTGTGTTAAAAGAGAATCTCACTCTTACCTGAAAGTCATGATATGGCCATTGGCACAGAAACACGCCAGGCAGATGCTGTTACTCAATGCTACAATGTCTCCGCGAAGCACGAAGGACGTCTCTGTGATGTTTTGTTTGTAAGCACAGTTCTGGGTTGGCAGTGAGATTACTTTTGCCTGCTTTTCAGAACATATCACTGCGTACTGGTTTTCACTAATTTCCTGAGAAGAGGAGGGAGATACTGAGACAGGCCGCCTTCTTTTTAATTTTTCCTTGTCATCTTTTTCTTCAGGAACATTGTGCTCTTTCCAGGGTTCATAAGCAGGTGGTATTAAGCAGCCTGTGGTATCCAGAAATGCCATTCTCAAGATTGCACCTTTTAACCTCAATATAGTACCTAAAATACAGAAGTTTAATAAATCACTCAAATATTTTAATTCACATAGTAAATATGCTATTCCCAACTGTGACACTAGACACTCCAAAATGTTAAACACATGTTAAACTGAAATTATATCCTGGATCATTGATAGGATTAGAAAAATCAAGCATGATATTTATAAGTCTGGGAAAAGATATCACCATCACACTTCCCAAATAGGTAAATGCCATTAACTATTCACAATTCACAATTTAATTCACAACTCAATTAAACATGAATTTGAAAACATGTATGTCAGGCTCAACTGAGCATGACCTCCCCAGTACCCAACCTGTTTCTCAGCAGATACACTGTTTCCAGCTCACCACAGGTGCTGCCCTCAACAAACATAGCACAGGATGTTGTAAAGAAGAGATAAGGCAGAACAAGGAATCTTCCCAGCCAGGACATCTACCTGATAACATTCATTTGCACCAGACCTTCTGAGAACTTTGACCACAGATGTTTGCTCAGATCTCCTCATTGAAGTCCCTGACACCCTTACCAGACACCTTGCCTGACCTCCCCAGTTGATCCTCTTTTGTCCAAGCCCTACAAAAGTCTCTGCTTTCCTCTGTACCCCACAGATGACCTTTTCACCCTCTACCTGTCTGCACCCAGGCACAATGAATTTTATACCGTGTTGCCTTCACACAAGCCTGCTAGCCTCTGGTGGTCTGTCACTTGCGTTGTTCCTTACAATGGATCTGAACTTATAGATTCATCATCAACCGACTATCTGGACCTATGTCTCTCACTCAGCACGCGTCTACCAGCAAGTACGAGCAAGGAGACAGCATATGGCAATTGGAGCTTTGCTTCCCTTGGGGCAACCACGAGTCACATGCGGCTGCAGAGCACTGAAAATGTGCCTTGTCCCAACTGTGGGGGGCAGCTGCGGTGCTCCGTGAGGGTAGAGCACAGGCAAGATTTTGAAGACTTTAGTACAAAAAAAGAGAAAACCTTAAATGTAAAATACATCAGTACTGTAAAAATAAGGACAACGTGCTAAAACAATAACGTTATAAAAATTAATTTCACTTATTTTTTAGTATTTTAATATAGTAGTTAGAAAATTTTACATTATACATATAGTTTAACTGACAATACAGTACTGATCTGGAAGGATATGAGAAAAGAATTCCATCTATTTCTAAGTATCACTTCTAAAATCTTAACTTTCTTTTGAACTACTTACCAATAAATGTCAAATATAACATTAACGTGGTTAATTTATAGCCTTAATTTAGGGGTTATGGTTACAATTTGCTTTAATTTGTGGTGTTTTTTCCCCACATAGCCTCAAAAATGTACAACAATGCTTTATGCTCATTTTTAAATAAGCTATGGGAGGACACAGAATTGCCTTAGTTTTCTAGTTCTTAAAGATTTTTCACATATTATTACTTACATTTGTAATAATCTTTTATAGTTTGCAAAAATTTTTCCATGAATTATTTTATTTCTAAGAGGAAGAGTTCTTGATGCTCTCTTTAAATTTCATCTTAGAAGAAAAAATGTACTTTCTTCTTTGTACTGTAGTTTTCAATATAGTAGGGTTGTCAGGTAAAATAAACGACATGTCGTTAAAGCTGAATTTCAGATAAACATACCCTTTTAGTAAAAGTATGTTCCAAATACTGTGTATCTTTCCAAATACTGCACTGGACATACATATTTAAAAAAGTATTTGTCATGTGCAAATAAATTTGACTGGGAATCCTACACTTTCATTGGCTAAAATTAGTAACTGTAACCACTAGTTCAGTTTTGACAAGTGGATAATTTACATATTTTGAACAGTTTGCTATAAAAAGGAGAAATAGAGCAGTTATTATAGCTTTAATCATTATAAATTTTCTCTTTCCTCAAGACATTCTAAAGCTAGCGATTTTCCTAAGAACTTTTATTTTATTTTTTTTTACTTTGATTTACTTGAAGAGTTTCTAGCTTTAAAGTCTTGATGAAGTCAGCTGAGTTATTCCTATTAATTTGGGAACCACTGTTTGTCTTTTTGAGGGTCTTGCTAAATTGCTAAATCACTAAGTGCCCAGGCTGGGCTCAACTTTGTGATCCTCCTGTCTCAGTCTCTCAGAGTGCTAGAATTACAAGCATATGTCAGCATGCCAAGCTAGGAACCATTTTTAGCACATACATAGTTCTAATCTGTGGATTTTCGAAACACGGCCCATAATAACTTTAAATATGTTTGTCCTATAGTTGGCAATATTTTAGCATGTTTCCTAGTACATCGCTAACTGACAGGCCTTTCTCTTTCAGGAAGGAAGGAAAGGAGAGATGGAGGAAGAGATGGAGGTAAGGGAAAAGAACAGAAAAGGAAAAAAGGAACAAAGCAGAACAATTCAATTCTTAAGCACAGAAACCCATCTGCTTGAAAAATAGTTCTTGTGTCACAGCTGCAATACAAATAACATGAGTCACTGATATTTTTAAAATGTTCTTTGATATACACATGTTGTTGTAAATATATGAGTGAATGAATGTTCATTTTATTCTTTACTATTATCTATTTGGTCCTGAATTTGCAGGCCTCCTGCCTCAACCTCCCACGTAGCCAGGATTACAGGCGTGCGCCACCATAAGCAACTCTCACTTCAAACAGGCATCTCATTAAATACAAACCCCGAAGATTTCACCACTGAGAAGGGACTGCTGTATGAAAGTTATTCTTACATCAAAGTAAATCCACAACTAATTTGATTTTATTGCAAGGGTAAATAAATACTTTTTATAATTAGTAATAAATTACCTATATTAAATTCCTCCCCATTTGTTTTTATTGGAAACTTCTCTTATTACAAACTGATGTTTATTATAAAATATACAGAAACCATAAAGTAGCAAACAGAGGAAAATAAAAATTCCTTGAGTATCACTAACCACTGAGAATTCTTGTCAATGTTTTGATTTTTACCTTTCCAGGTTTTCTGTCGCTACATACACATTTGTTGCTTACTAATAAGAAACAAATTAGGGGGCTGGGGATTTAGCTCAGCGGCAAAAAGCGCCTGCCTGACAAGCGCAAGGTCGTGAGTTCGGTTCCCGGTACCGGAGAAAAACCAAAAAAAAAAAAAAGAAACAGATTAGGAAGAAGACCGTTCTGTACCCTGTTTACTTTAATCTAACAAGAAAGTATACATTATATACTCAGGTATTTATTGAATGAAAAAATTCAAGATTATTTAAGGTAAACACAGTTGAGAAATGAACACTAAAGGTCATAATTACATTTTAATTCTGAATTCTATGAACTGTAAAAGTCTACATAGAAACAGACCTGGTGGTTTCTGTCTAGAGGATCATAAATGAGTAGTAACAGAATAGGGGCTCTCAGTTATTTCTAGACTTAAACTCCATATACATTTGAAAAAACTCTAATCTCACATTTAATACATGAAGGTTGCAGAACTTCTTTAGATTTGCTACTAAATAATTTTCTCCTAGTACAATACTTCTCTCATCCTCAGCTGCTTTCTCAGAGGCCAATCCCCAAGCTGTTTCAAACCCTGGCCTAATTTTTCTTGGAACTGCTTTCCAGCAGCTTATTAGACTCTTTTGATCTGACTCATTTTGCAAAATTAAACTGACATCATTAAACACAGCACTAAATTCTTCTTGTGAGACTACTTATATTAATGACCCTCCTGTTCTCCTGAGGAACAATGCTTACAACAAGCCAAGTTCTGATGTCACACTTACAAAATCAAAAATAACCCAGGGTAGAATGTTTAGAAATATACATTTCTGTTTTCTTCCCCTAAGTACATAACATTCTGCTTATAGAACATAATATTTTGAGGTATTGGGAATATACTATTATAATAATTTTTAAAATTTTCTTATGTGTTTATCATTTTATAAATGATCCTAGAGTTTTAAAAATCATAAAACTTGAATAGCTGTATAAATTGTATTTTAAACTTTGCTCCATGTATTCCTTTACTAAAAACCTAACATTATCACTATCCCCATTTACTTTATGTTTTAAAATTCTTACATTAATACAATAATAAACAGCAAAGGTTTCTAGTAAAATCACAGCAGATTCTGCCTGTAATGGGACTCTAAGTGCAGCACCACAGCACGCTTACCACTCGGAGACACAATCACCGGCTGAAGAAGTCTTTGCTCTCCCCCTGGGGGAAGGTTCAGCGCAATGACGAGCACTGTTCCTAGGGTGGTTCCAACCCACAGACACGGGGAAGGAGAGGAGTCCGCCTTCCGCGTAAAGGTTTCACAGAAATGAAGAGCAGAGATCGCTTCTCGGGACTCTTTATCTATGCTTGTCACACTGGAGCTCCGTGATCTGCTGAAGGAATTATCTTTTACGTCTGAAACGATTTAAAGTGTTGTGAGAGTGCTCAAGTTATAAAATATCACTTTTTGGGATATAAATTTGTCAAACAGTTAATCTTTAAAAAACCAAATATTTAGGTGTAATTTCCTTTTAGTTGAAAAATATCAATTTGCCTTTGTTTTTTTTTGTTTTTGTTTTTGTTTTTTGTCTTTTTGAGACAGGGTCTCACTATGCAGTTCAGGATGGCCTTGAGCTCACTCTGTAGCCCAGGCTAACCTCAAATTTTACTGATCCTCCTGCCTCAGCCTCCTGAGTGCTGGGACTACAGGCATGTGCCACAACACCTGGCTCAATTTACTTTTCTATAACAAAATTTCCATATTGCTTAAATGTAAAATACAAATGAATAAATCCAGCTTGCAGAACTGAGGTAGGGGCATCACAATGACGTTTTGAATGTGTGACATTTGTAATCCGGCTGCTTTTTAAATTTCAGCATTCTGTCCTCACAGGGGTTTCTTCCTTTGGTAACAGAATTCATGACTGGGCAGAACTAGAAGAGTGATGCTCTTTTTAATTTCTACATGTTATAAAAAAGATATCATATTAGGTATATTAGGTATAATCAACATTCATCTAAGATATTTTTCTGCAAAATGTGTAACTGGTATCTGTATCATATTTGATACCAGACATATTCCCTTTGCTCAGTTCTGTAACAAGAAGGATATTTTCAAATTATACTAATGAATCTCATCTTTATCTGTTTTCTCTGTAGTCAATCCCAAGCATATCTCAGACCAGTCTCGCTTTTCTCGTAACTATATTCCAGAGTCAGGATAAACTGTAACTAGACTCTTCCCCTATGTCTCACTGTTTATATTAATGACACTGCCATTTTCCTAAGAAATAACACTTGAAACAAGCCATAGTTCTGATTTCTCTCTTTCATTTTACCTGCACACCTGATGGGACACCAAGCCCTCTGTCATTTATTATAAGGTTCTGTTTTAATTTTTCCATTGTCAAACTACTATCATCCTAATGTTACCATTTACCTAGACTCACCTCCCCACCTTCAGCTCTCACTTCTAACACAACCCAATTAAAATCGGTCACCTCCATTTAAAAAGTCCACGTGGATTCTCCCCTTCTAGTTAGTCATGCTCACACTCTTACTCAGACTTTCAAGACTTTTCACAGAAGACCTTCCCCCTACCTTCCGGGCTTATCTCCTAATGCTGCACTCACCCGCTCACTGTGGAAAATAAAGCGAGCCCTTGGATTTTCCACAAAAATAATCATTTAACAACTGCTATAGTTCTGACGGTGATTTTCTGACTAGTATCTTGCATCAGTCTTTCTGCTACCTATCAAAGCTATGCTTAAGTTTCTGATTCAATCAGTTTATCCTGACTCCTACAACCAGCTTCTTTCCCTTCTGGATACACAGCCATAGAGCTCTGTCTGTCTCCCACGGCACTCAGAGTACATTTGTTCTCAGTGATTTCGGACTTATCTTATCCTCCACTCTAATGTGAATGTAAATGTCTCAAGTGCCATTTTGACACTTTGCAGAACTCTACCCAGGGCCTTTCTTACACAAAAGCTATCCAAACAACACTGAAGACAGATCTGTACCCAAATATCAAAATCAGTGTTTCTGTGGTACCATTAGGACATAAGGAAATTCACAGTAAGCTTCTACAACTCACATCTAATAAATACATCACTTTCAAATTACTTGTTTTCAATGCTTCAATGAAAGAAACAACCATTCATGTTATGAAAAAAATTTTAAATCCTAAATTGTATTGTTAAATAGAAGGTGCAAATGAATCCTAGTTATAATTCCCCAAGAGCTTTTTGCAATCAAATTTAGATTCTGCAATAGAAAATATTCCTCCCAATAATAATTCTGTGATTACAGCTAGCCTCTGGAAACAAAATTTCTAAGTAAGAAAACAAAAAAGGGTAATTTCCAACTGTAGTTTTTAAAGTGTTCTTTCTTTTGCTTCAGACAGTATTTGCTGTTAGAAAAGACCACTGTCATAATTTGAATATGGCCTGAGTGCGTCCCCCAAGGTGAATGTGCCAGAGGCAGATCTGCAGTGTGAGAATACTAAAAGGTGGTGGGATCTCTAAGCAGAAAGCCCGCTGGGAGGCCTGTATTTTTATTATATAGGTCATAGAGAGGCGTCACCCGCAGAGAAGATACATGTAGTTTTTGAGAGAACCTAGTCAGTTACTGCTAGAGAGGTTGTTATAAAGGGCAAGCTTGGACCCGGAATCCATCTGGCATCTTTTCTTGCCATTGGAAAGCTCTTGTATACTCCTACCATGATATCATCCAGGGTGCTGTGATGTGTAGAAATGCCTTAACAGAGACAAGCAAATGTGAGTACTATGTTCTTCAATCTCCAGAGTTACGAGCTAATAAACATCTTCACTTTATAAGGCTTCCAGGTTTGGGTATTTTGTTACAGCATGAGAAAATGGACTAAACTACTTACTGTAAATAAAATAACTTTCCATAATCAACTGTTCATTACTGGATAGGTTTCTCATATGGCAATGATTCCAACTATTTACTTATTTACTCTTTATAATTACCAAAGTTATCTTAGTAAAATGAGAGAAAATTTAAATTTGTTTTTCAATGATAAATGTATCTAATTTTTTACTTAAATAAATGACACATAAAATTTGACACACATAAAATTTGTATCTCCAGATATGTTTAGTTGTTTCCTAATGATAGCAATGGGAGATAATGATTCAAGAAACTGGATTACATAAATTTCAAAGTAAACTAACCTGTGGAAAAACTTGTACTAATATATACTTAAATTACAATAGATGATTTACAATAATCCACATGTTTGTGAAATCATGGGCCAAGAGAACAGTGTTTTACATTAACGGACTGAATTAACAATTAAAGACCATAAGCTACAGGTGCATTTTTATTATATAACTTATCTATAAAAATTAGACTCCAAAGAAACTCTTAAGGCTAGATCAATATGGAAAAAATAGATTCAATAAAAATTTAGCAGGAACTTTGTAAATCTACAGAGCTTATTTTATCATCTACCTACAATTGACAGGAAAACAAATTACCATTCTCATTAGTTTATGAATTATAACTTAGTTACTCCTAGTGAGTTATGTGTCATGCATCTCTGTGGTTTCAGTTTTAGAAACTGGCAAGTTAAACAAACAGAATGTTTAGTTTTAATAGTTCTAGGAACAAAAGCAGAAATAAAAACTGCTACAATTAAGCAAAGCTTACATGTGCCAGGCATTGTAAGACTCTGCATTTATGTACTTACTAAATCTACATAATCACCTTGAAAAGTATTATCATCATAATTTAACAAACAATTACACAGAAGCCCACAGAGGTTAAATGGCTTGCCCAAGATGACAAAGCTGTCAATAAATGGAAGAGTCAGGATTTGTGTCCAAGTACAAAATTTTCTGTTAGGCAACTACACAGCCTTATCAGCAATAGCATACAGTTGGAAAGCTATTATTAATGAGTATTCAAAACTGTTTAGATAAATAAAAAGTACCTGAACACAATCTTTCTGGCAGATCTAAATGCAGATTTAAAGTTCATCAGTAACGCCTTCATTCAGTACTAGTGACAGAAATGTCACAGAATTACTGCTTTCTCATTGCTCCTCTGGCCTAGAACATTGTTTTTCTATACACTACTCTCTACTTTCCACATAAGAGCTTTATGCAGTGCAATTTTGTATCTCCAGGTTAAAACGTAATACCAGGAGATGAATTTGCTTGGCGCAAAAATTAGGACAAAAAGCTAATAGCAGGGCATATTACAATTTGATGTATGCCTCGTATGGCTGAAACTTTAAAAAAATGTCAGAAATGTAACAATTACACCTATGGTTTCCAACTTATTAAGGATTTCAGGATAGTGAAGCTATAGTGAGAGTGCACTATAACATAAATGCCCATAAGCAGAAATGAATCCCATTCACAAAAGCTTCCAGGGCTGCAGGACAACCCAACGCACTAAACTGCTTTAACAACATAGGGACAACTTCAATCTAGTAATACAGTTGAATTTTTAACCCCATTGGTTCCTTGATCAAAATCTAACAATAGCAAAAAATCTTCACACACAAAAAATAGTTCAGCAGAGAAATACCTTGAAGAAAAATACTTAGGCAACACAGACATAGATATTCTCAAGGCATGTAACAGTTGAAATTATAACTGACATAATGCATTGAAATATATGGGAATGCTAGCAAAACCATAAACTGGATAAAGACATATAAAAGCATGGTGGATACACTTAGATTAATTAATTTTATATACATACATACAATTTGTGCATTTTAGTACTACTAAAATGATTGTTATTTTTTTTTTTTTTTTTACTAGTTTTAAAAGTATTTCTACATGGGCTTTCTCACAGTTTTAAGATACTGAAACAACTAAGGCTAGTTTAATTCATAGTATTCAATGTTATTGAAATCATGAGCCTCAGAGAGTAAAACAAAAACTCTGGGCCCCTCTTATAAGGAAAAAAAATGTACAATATAAACTTTAGATTTGGGGTCAAATTACCCTTTTATTTTTTAAAGTAGAGGAAACCATGCCATTCTCAAAACACAAGCTAGCCTATGCGCTTTAATTCTTGCTCCCTTCACCTGTGGCACCACTATATTTATAGGAAAAAATATAGTGTCCCACCGATGACACCTAAACACTGTGTACTTATTCACTAATAACACATTATATAATTACTGATAATTACAGGCTCTTTTTGCACAAATTTCAATCTTATGCTAATGTTTTTTAGATATAGAGTATGAAAAGGGTGAGGAAATGTACTACTTTGGTTTGCTTAAATTTGTATTATATTTATAATTTACACATACCTTCCTATAAAATATACCAAACAATGATTATCAAATCTTAGTCATTTTAAACTTAATTTATGATGAAATTCTAGACTGCAGTAATTTTATATTTTCTGACTTTTTTTTTCTATTACAGAGAGTTCAATTTTTTTTTTTTTGGTACTGAGAATCAAACTCAGGACCTTGAACTTGCCAGACAGGTGCTTGTGCCACTGAGCTCTAACCCTGGCCCCCAATTTTTTTTTTAACTTTATTTTACTTACCTAAATCAGGCTTTAGGTCAGTAGGCAAGCTTAATTTCCTTGACATCTTTGCTGAAAAATAAAATGTATTTTTAAAATTTTGAAGAATATTTTATTCTTTGATTAATACCAACTGATTTTCAAGATAGAAGTGAATACTTTTATCACTAAGCCTAGACACTAGGATAATTAAAATATGATTAATAATATTAGGAATATAAATAAAATCTTAAATTTCAACTTTTTATAAATGTATAGTACTTACTTTACCTGATGTAGTATCTTTGTGTCCTTGAAGCTCGTACTTCAAGGAAGCCTGTTACATTTTAACATTTAATTATTATTTAAGTGTACAGGAAGGGCTAGACTTTTCTAAGAGAAGAAAAGTCATTCCCAGAAGAAGATGTGGCAGATGAGGGCAATACAGGTCTCAGGCAAAGCTTGGGTAAGTGACAGAAAATCTTTCCAGCTTCTTGCCTTCAGTTATTGTGCTTGTTTTTAAATTGATTTGTAGAACAGTCACTCCTACTTCCATAATCAATTCAAAAAATTTGATTACACCATAAAATACGACTCGGTCATTGATACGTTAATATTTCCCTTTATATTTGTGACAAAAAGCCAAAGTCATGTTTAATCTAAAATTATAATATTTAAATAAATAAAGGGATTCTTATGCAGCACTAGAAAAATTAAAAGCTAATGAATAAGCCTAATGGAATTCACTTTCCATCCTCAAAATCAGTTATTGTCTTGATCTGGGAAGTAATTTAAAGTTAGGGGTTGTTCAACTATGTCTACTATGTTAGTGGTAGTGCATGCGTAACAGAATAGTGCTCCCTAGGTGAAATTTGAGAGTATGTGTTTGTTAATACATGAATGCATACACTAGGTTAAACTTTGGACTGTTAGGAGATATTTAAAGCACAGACCCTGCTAGTCCATAAAGGCGCCATGTAAACAAAGAGAAATCCAGTCATAGTACATAACTTCCACATCTAAAAAAATGACAAATCCAGTGTTAGGAAAGAGGCATTAGGCAGTCTGGAAAGGGATGAAGGAGGATGACACTTTTTTAAAATCTCAAAGCTTCATTAATTTAATTAGTATCCTTTAATAAACAACAATAGGTCACATGTACAATCAGTCATCCCATTTTCATAAACTTATAAATTCCAGTAGTTAAATGTAATACAAAACTGAAATAGCCAAATAAAATCTGTGGTTAGTTGATTTCACATACATGGCTGCAATATTTGATAAACAATGCCCTCAAAATTAGAAGATATTATAACTCTGAAACAGTACCTTAAAAAGCAGTATTGTACACTTTGAAAGAATTCAGAGGTTTACACCAACCACCATAGGTACAATAAACACAGACTGCTAAGTGGTAACTATAAATATATGTATCATCTGAAGTAGATCAACCTGGCATAAAGTTCTTAGAATCTGATGGTATGGACGCTACCTCAATACACTCTAGTAGTCAGATTTGTTCAAGTTATTTGGAGCTTTCGGACTTGCGCTTTTCAAACTTGAATGTTTATACCAATCATGCCAGGATCTTCTTGAAATGCACATTCTAAATGTATACTAAGGTCCAAGAGACATTTGTAACAAGCTCCCAGAAAATGCAAATTTAGTTAGTCTGTGGACTTCACTTTGAATGTAAGGTCTCTATAACTTTACAGTAAGAACTGGCACAAATTCATTAACTGCAATATGTATATGTAGTAAGCATGTGTACGCACGCGCACACACACATACCATATCTTGAACAAGCTTTTCTATCAGGAAGGAGGAAAAAGATAAGGGAAGAAAAATAAGAATTGGGGTATGTTTTGTAGTGATTAGGACCGCATTTAGAATCAAGCCAAACTTGAGTTTTAGTCTACTTCAACCTGTTACTCAGCCAATTACTTTGCCTCTCTAAACACTGAATTTCCTTATCTGAGGAGAGGAGGCCAGTTGTGAGGACTACGTAACATGATGTAAGCAAAGAATTAAGCATCATATCTGGGACACAGAAAGACATTATAAATGACAGTTACTACTAATAAGTATAAATTTATCACAAATGATGAAACACAGCACAAATATGCTATAAATATATTTGCAAATAACCTAATGGTCCACCATTCTAAACCTATGGTAATATTCCCAGTAACCTAAAACAAGGAAATAGAGAAAAATCTTAAAAGACAAGAGTAAGGTTAACCTTTCAAATTCATTTCAAAAACTAATTTCAATACATAGGTAAACATGGCAAAGAAAATAGCTTTAGCAATTTAAAAAATACAAATAACAAACTTGTTTTTCTTTACATAATGTTAAAAGAATATCTCATCAATTGGAAATAGTTCTGTCGATGCTTTCAGTGACTAGATAGGTTTCTGCCAAGAACGTTACTACGTTTCCTTTCAATTTTATTAAGTGTATGCTTTTGAGTAGAAGGAAGGAGATGAAGGAAGAGGAGTGATGGGAGGGATTTAAATCCCCGGGATTAACACTTTTGTTATGATGAGTCTTTAAAGAGTTTCTTTTTTTTGTACAATGAGGCATCTGTCTAAAGGTCTGTTAACTGACAGGCAGCAGAACTGTGGATCTAGCATGGGTCCGTCTTAAGTGGGACTGGGGACTTAGGCTGTAATCATCTACTCTTACATGACTTTTACTGAAATGGAATAATCACATTTTTCATTTCATACATATTTTAGTGTAAAGCCTGAAAAATTTCATGCAGTGGTTATGTACTAGATATATCATCAGGAACAGTTAAACTAGATTTACAAAGTTATCTTTATAAAAATAATATATTCTTATTATAAAGAATTAAAACAATGCAAGAAAAAGCAAGTTTTAAGACATCGCCCAACAGTTTGTCAACCAGAAATGAACCTTAAGAGTAACTTAATTAAGCATCCTTCTAAATCTCTTTGTATAGAGGCGACAGGTGATTACTAGTATTTGCTTCCACTCCTCCTAATTTGGAATTTTTTCTTCTTTTTCTAACTTCAAGATGTAGACCTAGGACTAGGGATATAGCTCAGTGGCATAAGTGCCTGCCTGACAAGCACAAGGTCCTGAGTTCAATTCCTGGTACTAAAAAAGAAAAGAAAAGATGTAGACCTAAGATTCTTGAATAAGAATGGTTCTTTCCAAATATATGTTTAAAGTATAATATTTCCCAGACTTGGCTTCAATTCCTGCGAACTTATCAGGACAGTTCCTTTCTTAGCTCCACAAATTCTATTCACTTTAGCAGCCTAGACTCGCAGTCTGTCTCCTTGCTCAGTGCAGCTCCACTTGGGTTCCCCTGAGGAGTGCTGTGAGGCAGACAGCTGGGAGACTTGTGGGGCTTACTTGATGCTTTTTCTTTCTCTCAGGATGACAGTCTTGGAATGCTTGTTCAATTCCTGGGAATGAAAGGTTCCTGTACTTTGACCAATATTATCGTTTTCTATAGAAAGTTGTAAACATTAATGTTTAAAGTTGAACTTTAGGATAAAAGTCTGCATTTTTCTGCTTCTAGGACTTCTTGTCTGCAAGTGTGCAAATATACTTGTTTGCAAGTCTGTCAACTTCCTGGATGGGGTCCAGAAGAGGCAGATCCACCTCTGGATAACCCTTTTGGTCAGCCCTTGCGGCTCATTCATTTCTTGTACTCTGGCATAGTATTGTCATGAGAGAGTTGTAGACTTTATCCAGTGATTTTATGATGTTGATATTTTTACTTCTCAGAAGCACTTGTCAACCCAGTTACCCTGTCATCTTACTTTATTACATTTATCAGGAAACTTCTGCTCATGCCTCAATGTTGCTCAGGTTCCACTGTGGCCTTCAAGCTGAAGGCATAGGAGTTTCTGGAAGACAAGGTGTTTTTCTTGTCTTCACCTGTGTTTTCTTCAGCTCTTGCCCACAATACTCAGTATCTTCCTTGCTCTCAAAATTTGTCACTGGAGAGTACAAACTAGGTAATTTTTTATCGACATACACAATGGGAACAATAGCAAAGGGTTCCTAAATCTGAGGAAAACTGGTGAGGAAAATTGCTGTAACAAAATACCAGAGGCTGGTTACTTTAAAAAGAGGCTTAGTTAGCTCACATTTTTGGAAGCTGAAACTCCAAGATTGAGTAGATCTATTGATTCTGCCACTCATGAGCACCTCAAGAGTGATGGCCTAACGGTGGTACATGAATGTGATAAGAAATTATATGGTGAGAAAAGAAGCCACAGGGATCCATGGCTTTTTCATAGCAACCCGTATTTGTGGGAATTAACCAGTGTGCCCCAAACACTACACTAATCCCTTTGCAGGGCAGCACCCCAGTGACCTAATTACTTTGTGTTAAGCCTTACATTTTAAAAGTCCTACTACCTCTCAACATTGCACACTGGTCAATTAGTAAAACTCTGGAGGACCTACAAGAACCATGTCCAACCATAGCAAACACGAAGAAAAGATGTACAATGTTCAAACAAACCTTCAGGCAAAGGACTGCTCGGGTCACAATAATATAAATGACAATTTTATCACAGTTGATGATTTTCAGTCCTTTAAACTGGAGAAATCTTTGTAAGGTTTCTCAACTGTGGAGTTCTCACTGCTTCTTTTAAACAGATATTTTATAATTTTCCTGAAGTTTTTCTATCCATTGTACACACATTTTCTATACACAGGTTTTTGAAAGAAAGAAAAACAGAACCCTAACTTCCACGTTGTAGAATGTGATTTTTGAGAAGGTCTGGGAGGCTGGGTATTAAACACGGGCCTTCACAGTGAGCTACATCCCTAGCACTTTTATTTTCTGAGATAGGATCTCACAAAAATCACTAAGTTGCCCAGGCAGAGCTCAAACTTGGGATCCTCTTGCCTCAGCTTCCTAGAGTATAATAAAAACATAAAGGTGAAAAGACTTCTATTATGACAGTATGATGAAGTTATCAGAAAAGCAAACTGACTGCTGTTTATGAGATTCAACATTTGGAATAAAATGAAAACACTGCTTTTTTCATCATATGCAGGGATCCAATGCTATTCTTTGCAAAAGGATAATGCTGAAGTGT